TGGTACGCACTGAAACTGACTATTTTATTATTGCAGATGCAGAAAAATCATTTTGAAATCACTAAAAAATATAGTCTTACTGTATTGTATATTTCAGAGGAGAGCAGTGGAGTAATGCCTTCCACATTTCAGAAAAATCACAGTAACAGGTGCAGAGTTATTATGTCATTAAGTACTCTCACATTGTCTTTCACTTATATTAGCTATTACCCTTTCTTATACGAGAAAAACCCTTTTTTCTTTTATTATTATTACATGTTAGACGCTTTTATTCAAAGCGACTTACATACTCAATACTGTGGACAATCCCCACAGGAGCCATTTGGGGTGAAGCGTCTCAGGGACACAACGACATGCTGACTGCAGTGGGGTTTGAACCTGTGCTCCCCTGATCCGAACACCAACACACTTGTCCACTGCGCCACACGCCTCCATACTTCCTTCTAGCTCTGTCAGAAAGAACACAACCTGAAATATCACACTTCTCATTTAATAAATCAAAAGACGCTGTCACTCCACCCTCCTGTTTCTTTATTTCTACCCTCTGGTTTGTTGAGCGGATAAACGTTTCTGGCTGCTGAATTTCTTTTTCTTTCTAGATAGTAGCAGCAGAATAAATAAGTTACCTCATTAATGGCTTTTCCTAGATCTCCAAGAGTCTCCAACAAGACTCCTGCAATGCAAATAGCATAATGTTTTACATAGCGAGGCTGATTTAAGCTTTTAGCTCATTTCCATCTAGCGCAGGTACACACATAAGAATTAACAATCGCTTAAAACATAACATATCACACAATTATACAGACATTTTAAAGTACAGATCTATAAAAATACCGGCATATTTATCAATACATCTACAATATTACAATTGAAACTAACCTTTGACATACATTCTGCACCAAAGTTCAAACTACCTATGGGATGCAGATGCTTAGATGTCGAGGACAATCACCTTGTGGGCATGACAGGAAAGAGTGATAGGCTGAGAGGAAGCAATGGAGGGAGGGCTTGTTTTCTGTGGTGAGTGGAGAGGGAGGGACGGAGGTGGAGGAGCGGGGCGGTGTTACAGACCTAAGCAGGTGTGACAGTTCTGAAAGCTATCATGGGGAAAAAAAGGTTTCTCTGGCCTTGTAGCCATGCTAAACTGAGCGTGACCCTCCGACTGAACCCACCCATCGCTCTGCTGCCTGATTTCCTGCCGGTATCCGCCCAGGAGCAGGAAACCCTCCTCTGACAGCGGGACACTGAAAGATTTAAGCTTACAAATTCCTATTCTCCTTTTATTTGTCTCCCCACCACTTTTTCATTTGATATTTTTTCTCTATATGAACTATTGTCGACTTAAAAAATACGGTAGAGTATAGGGAGAAAATGCTGATCTGATCTGATGTCCGATTTTCCAGTTGAATCACACTGAGTCTATATATAAAGGCGGCGTGTGGCGCAGTGGGTTGTGCGTAGGTATGTGGATGTAGGTGTTGGGATCAGCGGGTCACAGGTTCAAACCCCACTGCAGTCAGCATGTCGTTGTGTCCCTGAGACACTTCACCCCAAATTGCTACTGTGGGGATTGGCCACAGTATTGAGTATGAAAGTTGCTTTGGATAAAAGCATATAACAAGTGACATGTAATAAATACAGTTTTATTTTTTAATGTGTCTGATGACCAGAAAATATAATTGAAGTGTTGTGTGGGAGGTTGTTATATGATACAGACTTAAATATCTCTGAAACTACCAAATACATGACCATGATTTTTTTCCTGTACAGAAAGTCATGGTTCCTAGGATCCATACTGACTTGCATAATCTACACAGGATGTTCCTCTACACTAAAATTAGGTTGACCCTTTTTTAATGAAATGTCTCAAAACTATTGTATATGTTTACACAATTGTGTTCCCCTCAAGATGAATTGTAACCACTTAAGTGCCATCATCTGGTCAGTGTTTTTATAATCCGATCCTTTGGTTTATACCAGAACAAATAACGTAATTATCTTTAAAATAATTTTAAACCGACGCATTTCGATCTTGCTGCCCTGCATATTTTCAAATGACTTTTAACCCGATTCCTTATAAATGTGCCTAATTACCGTGATAACTTTGTATATATATATAAATAGTAGGCCTACTAAAGTATATTGGCATTCAGATTAGACTAAATAATGTCCTTCATACTTGACATGCATCAAATAAATCATTGAGCTAGTTTTTAGCTGATTTCACTAAAGTGTGCACCAATACGTCCTGTAAAATGACCCCCTTCCAAACGAATTGCAACGATTTTAGAAAGCCCTCCAGCTAGAAATCAGAATTAATGCATTGTCATTGGGAGCAGTGTATCACGCTGATAGCACCACTGTGTAGTACAGCATCACAGACCTGCAAGCATCCTTCTTTTGTGATGCTGCAGTTCATAAAAAAAATGCAGTGACACCCGCCATATGGAGCTGCTAAGTATTCTTTTAGTTTGACTTTTAGGGTAGTTATATTCCCATG